GTGACTGGGATAATTGGGATGGGAGTGTCAGAGACAGTGCGATTGGCACAGGACAGAGCAGAGTTTAGGGCTGTTGTACATAGGGTCGCTATGAGTTGCAGGCGACTCGATGGCACCTAACAACAACAACAACAGGGCATTGGGGGTTGGTGTTTCGGAATCAGTGAGACTAGCTCAGGACAGGGCAGGCTTCAGAGTTGCTGTATATAGGGTTGCTATGGATTGCAAGAAACTCAATGACATATAACAACACACACACACACTTAGTAAAACAGTTCATTGTGTCTTTGTACCATAATTTTTCATGCATTCATCTCCTGATCGGCATTTAGGTTTTTTTCTGTATTTTTGCTATTGTGCATAATGCTGCAATGAACATGGGTGTAGGTATATCTGTTTGTGTCATGGTGCTTAGTTATCTAGGATAATAAGATATCTTTATTTTTTTTTAAATATTTTAAGGACGAACAATACCATTTCCCACAGTTGACTGTAGCATTTTTACAGTCCCACAAGCATATATGATGTATCCACATCCTAATCTGATTTATTTTAAAAAGATCTTCTGGTCAGGATAAAAGTTTCCTCAGTTTAAGATGAGTAGAGGAAAGAATAGAAAACTGCTGTAATGTTGTTTTTGTTGTTGTTAATTGTCGTCAAGTTGACCACAACTCATCGTGACCCTATGAACAAAAGACCTGAAGCCTTTCTATAACTATCATTATTTCTCAAAGTTCATAGAGTTTCCACAAGCATGTTGTTTAGGAAGTGGATGCCACTCCTGCTTCCAAATAGTCCAGGCAAATTTTAACAGTGATTTAGAAAACAGTGGTCTGGCATAGCATCTATTTTGAATGTGGAGCTGGAAAAATCCTTGCTGTTTAAATATATGTGACAAAAATTATTATAAAATTTCCAATAATTATTTTATTGAAAAGATAATCAGCCTATAAACTATCTTAATTTAGCTAATACACTGTTCATAACGCTAAGAATAAATTTTTAGTTCATGAGTTCAACATAAATATAAACTCAGTATAATATCTATTTATCTAGAATTGAAATAAAACCTCAAGTGTAGAGTTTGGGGTTGGCATTTTTTTCATAATCACTTGCTATATAAGAAAATAAAAAGATTATGAAGCTTGGAAATAGTGTTCTGTGTGAGTAAAAATAAGACTGTATAAGATTATACCTTTTAATCTTTTCTATCCATAAACAAGAGGTTTTGAATACAAAGAGTTCCCAAGTTCAGCTGCTTAACATCAGCCTGGAGGTTTGGGTCTTGCCAGAGATGCTTCAGAAAGTTCTGGTGATTTACTTTTAAAAAATCAGCACCTAAAAATCCACAGATCACATCTCTACACTAACAAAGATGGGGTCACCATGATTTCAGGTTAACTGTATAGCAACTAGTATTCTAGCATCCATAAGTTGAACTCCCATAGCCTAGAGAGTAAAGAACTGCACTACCAAACCAAAGGCAGGCAATTCAAATCCACTAACTGCTCTTGGGAGAAATAATGGCCATCTCTTCTCATGTGATTTACAACTTCTGAAAACCCACTGGAGGGTCAGCTGAGTTAACCCAATTCAACAGCACTTAACAACAACAATATCCATAAATTGGTATGCTCACATTAATTCAAAAGTTCAAGTAATTACAAGCCTCAGTCATTTAAGCCTTTAGAACAAGAACTATATCAAATAATGTTTAAATTTAAGGAAATGTATATTCATTGCTACTTTACTTTGACCAAAGTATAAGTTCTCACAGCAAAGATAAGCAAGGAAACATTATCGGATTGTAGAGAAAGGGGAAAGTTTTCTTTTCTGCTAGATCTAATCATGTATAAATGCAACATGAAACATTTAATAAAACCAAAACAGAATTTCCATTTCTGTAAGGCATCTTACTCTGGCAGCAGAAGCAAAAGAATCAGGCCCATGAGCTGCATTTCTGATGCCATCAGTTCCAAACAGGGCTCTAATGCTTCCGGGGGCTTCAGTACATGCCACTCCAGAGTTCGCAGGTCCAAGGAGTCGTTTCCATTCACAGATAGCATCATCTCTCAAAATCTCCATGGCAATAACAGGACCACTTGTAATAAATTGGATCAGCTCACTGCAAAACAAGCAACCAACTTAGATGATTCATTATTCTATCAATCTCTGTACTTCTCTTACCAATGAGAATACAATATAATCTGGCTACCTCAATATAGGCATGGTTATGATGATCCCAGAACTGATCAGCTTAGTGAATTTTACATAGGTAGGATGAAACGTTTATCAATATAGTGTCCTAGTGACCTAATGGCCTACTAAAAACAATACTAACATCAAATCAATTCAATTTCTATCAGAAAAAAAAATCAATGGGAGGCAACGCACTATTTGTTGACTTAAGATGTACACTGTTGCCCTATGCTGTCACCATTGTTCTAAAAGGTACACAAGAAAAGTGCAGTCAGGAAGAGTTTACAATACTGAAAGTGATAATAAGAGTAGTGTCTTGTTATGTATTTGCAGTAAAAATTTATCTCATTTATTTTTGTGAAGAACAACCATTATTTAAAAACTGGTGAAAAATTCTTACCCAACAAATATTTTTATTTTACTTAGTGATAAAGGAAAAATGAACAGATCTTAAGACATGTCCTTTCAATAAGGTAAAGGCTATTCTGAGTTGTACTGTGACACTAACGTGTCAAATGCGTTCATGGTTGGCTATCCAATGCGGACAGAGAGCTAGGTGGAGCTCCCCGATTAAAACAAGCGTGGAAGGAGGAGTGGCATCCACTTCCATAACAGCTTGCCTCCAAAAACCCTATGAACCTGGAGAGAGGATGAAAGGCACCCAAGCGTTGAGGACTCTCCTTCATAGGGTCGCTATGAGTCACCTGCGACTCGACAGCACTTAACAAAACAACAACCAACTCTGAGTTGTAACTATAGTATAAAAGCATGCACATTTTCTTTCAAAAAGCAATATATACAAACCTTGTAAGTAAGCCAGTATAAAATAAAAATTTTATTAAAAATAAACTATACACATAGTCTATTCAGTAAAAAGACAGACCTCAGCAACAATGAAAGGCTTACAGGCAAGTTAATAGCTCATTTTATTTTTTATTGAAATGCGTACAAGTCAGCAATGACACGTTTAACTGTTAATTAAGTGATATCACCCCTCTTACAGTGTTCATCAGGAACAAAGTACTTTCTAAAGTCCACACATCTCTTTCATCCAAACAAAGAGAGGGGACAGAACCTGTCTAGTTAAAGAGCATGGTGTGATGGGTCATTTGTGTCAATTAATTCTTGACTGTTTCTCTCACAAATTATGTCATACATAACCTAACTCACTTCTGTATCTCCTTTTTAAATAATTTTATTTTAGAGGGTATCTATGAGAAATAGTATGTAATTGTACTCAAAGCCCTGATCCTATAAGGCCTACATCTTACATATTCTGCTAGGCCTTAGCAATAATAAATGAATAAACAAAAATAATTAGATTTAGGAAACCAAGATCATTAATAAAAGTAATGATTATCCATTAAATAAGTACTTTCTGAGCATCCACTGTATACAGACTCTACCTTATAAAACAAGCTCCCTCCCCTTCAAGAAATGGATTAATCTCGTGTCCTCCAAACACACAGCAGGTTAAATATATGTAATATATATATGTAAATATATGTGGTACATATAATGAAACAAAGATACTAATAAACCTGATCATAATGAATACTGCTTTATAAAACTTGAAATTACTATAACTACATTTTTTGTTAGGCCTTTCATTATACCTTTTCCCAATATGAGAAAGTTAGTTATCCATCCACGGCATAACATTTGTTGCATTCTGATGATATTTAAGACATTGAGAGTTATCATTAAATGCAACATATTAAGAAAAACTCTAAGAAAATTATGTTATTACTATGTACTGTCAAGCCAGAACCCACCCATTGCTGACCTTCCAGAGGGTTTTTGGAGGCAGTAAATTGCATGGGAGGAGAGTGCTCATCTTTTTCTCCTCAGAGCAACTGGTGGATTTGAACTGCTAAGCTTCTGGATTGGCAGCACAACTCTTTTACCACTAAGCCACCAGAGCACAGATTCCAACAGTTTCCTGGAAAACTGTATATGCCAAGTGTATCAAGGCTTGGAGCTATTTTATAATGATTTCTTTTAAATCCTCTATACCAAACTAATTTTTATAAATAAGATTTCTTTTAAAACCCAATATGGCACACAACAACAAAATATGTCTATTGCTTGCTGTTGTGTGCTGCTGAGTTGGAGGCAACTCTTAATTATCAAAGTGCTACTTCTATTCAAAGCACTTGAGTCAGAACAGACTAATAGCTGACCCTCCAGTGGGTTTTTGGAGCATGGGAGGAGACTGCACATCTTTCTCCGATGGGGCAGCTGGTGAATTTAAACTGCATGCCTTAGGATAAACAGCCCAACTTTTTACCAAATCTTGGCTAAAACGTTGAATTCCTAATTAGAGCTGTAAATATGCTTTTGTGAGCTGGCATATGAGCATGCACAATATATATTTAAATTTAATTTCATTCTTAACATTTAGAATATAGATTCCATTTCTAACACATATTATTTGTTGTACTTCAATAAACAAAATGCATAGCAATTTCATTGAAAAACAGGGTCCATGAACATTGGTTTTAAAAATATACGCATGAGATTATCAAAATAAGGGTTTAAAAACAGAATGAAAATAATGACCATGAAACATATCACTTTATTTTTAATCTGTTGAAATCTAAAAATAACGTCATGCTCCAAATAATTCAAACCAATTTATTTTTTATGGCAGTTTTAATATATTTAATGACAAGATATAGAAATTCATGCTGATGGTAATGACATGTCAGATAAGGGACTCATATCTAGAATTTATAAAATACTTGAGCACTACAAGAAGATAAGGGTAAATAATTCAATAGAAAAATGGGCACAGGATATGAACAGACACTTCACCAAAGAAGACATTCAGATGGCCAACAAGCACATGAAGAAATGTTCAAAATCCCTAGC